AAAACATTTTAACTGACACAAAATTTCCAAATTTCCTTCTATACAATTTACGTTCTCCTATAAATTTGACACTATTCAAATCTCCATGTTTCTCACACTTTCACATCGATTCACGTTTCAAAAATAAAAAGTTCACGCAGAATTATTATAGTATCAAAGTTTAATCATATACAAACAGTTTGAGTAATAACGCAATGGTTAATTCTCCGTATCGCAATCGATTGCTCGCGGGATCACGAAACACGAGAAACATTCGCGAAAGTTTGAAATTCATAAGGGAAATTTTTTCGAGCAATTTTACTCGCCGCGAGGGTCGTTAATACCGGCGTCCAATTACATTAAAGACACGCGCCACAACTAATCCCAGGTCGGGCGAACGTAATTCCACGGTCTGCGTTTCTTTTCGCTCTTTTTTTTTCCGCGCGACGTATTCGTCCTTGCGTCACGACTCGTTATTTATCGCTGGGCTTCTATTTTTGCTGCGGTCCCGCTCGTAATTCTCGAGTCGCGAATTTTTCTTTACGATACGCCGCTGTATCGGTTCGGCGAAAGGATTGCCCGGTGCATCGGATTCGACGGCGCTTCTTTATATGAACAGTTTAAAATGACAGTGGTTTAAAACCCATTTCTGAATTCTCGAAAAAAATGAAGTGTACAAAATATTGTTTCGAGTAATTTAACCCCTGGACCTACAGTATTGTGTCAGACTCGTGACAAAAATTTTAAGCTGAATTTGAGAACTCTGTCATTTATCTTAAGCATAAATTCAAAATTATTTTTCTATTATTAATCGTTAACCTGTGGAGTGAACGTAAACATAGAATAAGCATCGACATTGTTTCATTTCCTAATAAATTATTAACGACGAAGTAGTTATATTGAGCGTAGCTAAGAAATAAATCGTAGGGAAAGGAGTTAATATTAGTATCTTAGAAATATATTAATATTAAATTGCTACATATACTAATGCTACTATTTTATTAATATTCTAATATTAAATTACTAAAGATACTAATATTACTATTTTACTAATATGCTAAATTATTAAATGTACTAGTATTACTATTTTAATAAGTCTTTGATACACAAATAACACGAAATTCTAAAAATATTATTTAGAACTAGAACTACCGAACGTTTAATATGATTAATGTATAAGAATAGATTATTAATACATTAATTAATATGTAACAATAAATTATTAGTATAAAACAAATGATATCTCCCAGACGTTATTGTATGATAGAAAGTTAATAATATTAATTATTATTACCCGGTAATATTTTATAATTCACGGTAAATCGAATATTACGTTACTCGAGACCTACCTGTATACTCTATCGCGCAAAACTCATTGACCATTCCGCGCCCGGTCGGGACTTTATTTAACGTACGCGGACGTGATCGCTCCGGTTACTGCGTTCGTGAGCCACGCACCAGGAAAAATCTCAAGTCACGATCCCAGATATTGTTCGGCCATCTATGTAACGCGATAAATAAATTTCAATCGCGACGCTCGACATGCGAGCCCTTTAATTTGTTTGATGGCTATAGATACTTGCTTGTCCTGTTCGTAGAACTGTGTAACCTGATTCGTTTCTTTTGATTTTAGTAATTGCATCGAGGTTGTTATCGTTGTATTGATGTTGCAATTTATTATACAAATTATGTATTATATAAAACAGCAAATTTATTACGATTACTTCAACTGTTGTTTATTACATGACGTAGAGATTGGAAGGTTTGGTTTACAATTAAAAAAATAGTATTTTTCAAATGTCCAATGGTATTAGAAATAGAGAGTCTTAGTTAAGAAGTAGTATAAATTAGCTTTTATTTCACAGCATCTAAAACAGTTTCAAATAATAAATACATAAGAAACTTGTTTTCTTAATCGTGAGTTACAGTAAAAACAAAATGGAGTTATTAGAAGTTAGTTAATTAGAAGTTTGTTACTTGAAAAATATCTGTTATACTTCATTTCTTATATAGTAAGAAATTAAAGTAAAACTTAAAAAAATTATATGAAACTGTCTGTACAATTTGAGAAATGAATCCCTATTACAAAAAAATTAAATTTAAATTATTCCCCTTTCTCTCATCAAATTATAAATTTCAAAATAATAATAACTTTAAAATGCAGTAAATCTTTATTCGCCACTTAAATGAATACGTACTCAATTCAGCAAAGAAAATACTAAAGCATTTATTCCCATTGAATTTATGCGTTCGCAGAAATTACAATCGATACAATTGCTAAATTCACGAGCACACCGTAACAGTGGCTCGGCGAAGACGTTTCGTGCAGCGGTGCACGTCCAGCATGCTGCGCGTGATTGTAGTCCATCGGTAGAGAAAAAAATTGCGGGATGGAAAGAAAGAGAAGAAAGGGCGGGAGGAAGGAGAAAAAGTATCGCTAAAAGGCGTGCAGCACGGGGATCATTTCTGGAGGAAAGTTTTACGAGCGAAACACACACCGGCGTGCAATAAAGACGTCGGGTCGACCTTTGCAAGCTCGTAATTTTCGAAAGCCGCTTAGAATAGCCGGAAGGACAATTACTTTGAAACACGGACTAATTGAGATCACGACGGCTACGCTACTGAAACGAAGCATCCGAAGAGATAGAATTGACTGCTTCTTCAAAGACCCCTGAGGAGCTGCGTCCGAGGACGCCATATTGGATTCTACGTCGGGTTTCGTGATTCACGACTTAAACCAGGCGGAAGGGTTACAAAGATTCCGAGGGCATCCAAGCTTTTCTTAACACATTATTCCCCTCGTTGCTGTCATAACAACATTCAAATATTTCTTTACCAAAAACTGAAAACATTGAAATAAACTGATATTTAATAAATAGTAACTTCCTCCATAAAAACAAAATCAGTCTAGATTAAAATTACCCTGTACCATCGAAGTATTCATTACAAAACTTTCTGTCAAAAATTATACAATTCTTGCGTCGAATATTAGAAAATCATTAACATTAATTCTTCTATTTTATTATATATTTAATACAAAATTCCCTTTTCCCTATCTTACACAATTAACAATCACGCTCCACTCCAAGATCACAGCTAGACCTTCGAACATCGCCCTACCGTGTTCCCGCCAATAAACAAATGAATTCAACATTATACACCACAAGCTACCGCATAGTCTCCGAAACAAATCCTATAAACCATTTCCAACAAGCGAAAAGAGAACACAGGCCAAAGACTTTCCGTCGAACGAAAAGATTCGTGAAACAAGGAATCCGTTTAAGTTTCGAAGCAGGTACCCGGGCACAAAGCGTTTCCCGGTAGCTTCCTGAAGCCGTGGCCCGAACAATCGCAACGTATTTCACGCACGGTGGTACCAGAACGCGCCGCGCGGTTCCTTTTCCCCATCGGGCGGGTTTCTATGCGCGGCACGCAGCTGCACCATGTCAGGTACGGTACTCAACGACAGCCATTTAATGCGCGGAGCGCTGTTTAGTGCCAATGTCAAAACCAACGCGAGTCGCCCACGTGTTGGGCCGTTAGACACCGGTGAAAAATCCGCCTCATCGGGGACTTGTTGCGCTAGGCGACGCCGCTACGTGAGTAATACCAATGGAATTGATGAACTCGTTACCTGGGCCGCGTGTCGTCGCGGCGGGACGAGGCCGATCATAAATTTCGCTCGCCCGGACCGACCTACACGTTGCTTAGGTGTCTCGAGTTCCGCGTTTCCAGTTCCACGCGGTGATAACGATAACGGGGGACGCAGCATTCTTTCTGTAGCGTCTCGGGACACTATGGAGACTACGGGGGACTGTGTTTCTGCGGATGATTCGCGTGTCGTCGTGTGGATGAGACTGCAGAGTGGACACTGACCCTTTTAGGGCTGGTTTCGAGAGCCGGCGACGGGAAGTGGATG